CTCTGAGGGTATGGGCCAGGTCAAGCCAATGTTCTCTTTTGCTGATTCTTGTCTCCACTTTCCTCCCTTCCCAGCTCCTTGTCCTTCTTCTTGTCACTGAGCATGGTGGTGGGACACACAGGAAGGCCCTGAGACCCCCAATTCCTCTGTCAGAAACCCCCATTAATATGCAAATCAGCTTAGGAGGGTGAGTGGATTATTACTGGTGAGTCACTCTTTCTGGGTCCACCAAGGCTTGGGCAACCCTCCCTCCAGCCTGGTGGGCACCAGTGTGCCACCGGACCCCAGCCTCTGAGCCACCCAGGGTGACTCATGTGACCATGATAGTGGCTCCAACGGGTTCAGCAGGACCAGTTCTGGGGTGTGCAGATTTAGGGCAGGGCAGAGATTCAGGAGTGAGCAGGCCAGGGCATCCCAGCCGTGGTCTAAGAGGCTGGGCCTGCCAGGGACATAGTGCGCCCCAGTGCCACTGTCCAGAGTGGGCAGCAGCAGCCCCTCTGCTCGTCCCAAAGTCCCCGGGGTTTCAGAGAGCCAGGCTGAGCCCCGAGAGATGGGGGGGGTGTCTTGTGATGTCTGTCTGGGAACACAGGTGAGGGAGGCTGGAGGTTTGGAGAGAATGCAGTGGGTGGGTGTCCCAACCTTGGTGCTAAATATGGGATGCTCATTGCTATGCAAACAGCCTGGATGGGCCTGAGTGAGGCCTGATTGCCTGGCAACCAGAAGTCCTCTCTCCTCCCCTCTCACTTACCTCCCCCACCTGCAGTGTCTCTCTCTCTCTTTTAAATAATCTCTCTGATCCCCTTTTTTATAACTGCCGGGGGAATCCTCTAAGATCTGCTGTAGTGTGACTTGAATAGGGATGTAAAGGAAAGTGGGGTCTGCCGTGGGGTCTGCCATGGAGTCTTTGCCCAGACCATGCATCCTCAGGGACCCCCTTGGGGTCAGAAGGGATGCCTGTCAGACAGAAGAGCAGGATGAGTAGCAGCAGCTGTGATACTGGGGAGAGAGTCAAGGCCCCTTAAATGGACAGATAGGGTACAGGGGTGCTGAGTGGTTGGAGGGGAGAGAGTGCCCAATGCAGAGGAGCTGGCCCCAGCTCAGAGCTCCTCTCAGTGTGGGCTCTAAAGAGGCCACTGATCCTGTGGTGGGTGTGTGGGCAGCCCCTTGGGCAGGCAGCCCCTTGGAGGAAACAGAGAGGTGCATCCGGCAGGTGAGGGACGAAAGCCTTGTGACCTCCATTCTGGTGCCCAGCCTTTGAAGACAGCCTGAGTCTGGGTGTCATGGAGGAGAGGCCTTGGAGCAACACCTTGTCACCAGCCTGCATGCTTCTGAGGCCAAAAATTGGCTGTGTGCGGGAACTGAGGCTTTTTTCTTCCCGACTCTCTCCCAGGCTAAGGGGCCTACCTGTCCTCAATCATGTTAGCCTCAATCCAGCCAGCTTATCCCTCCCTTACCACCACACAGGGGAATTACAGAATGAACATTCCAGGAAACCAGGGCTGCTGTGTGACTGCTGGGGAGGGAGAGCTGGGGTGGAGGAGGCAGGGTTCTGGGAGGGGGACCCAGAACTAGCTGACATTTATGGGGCCTGAATCTAGGTTAGGCTCTTTACAGAGGGTTTGCAAATCTTCATGCCTTTCAAGACTCACAGCAATCCTAACAGGTCATTTGTACCGTTTGGCTGCTGGGGAAACCGAGGCAGAGAATTTAAGTTGATCATATGCGACAGAGCCAGGTGTGACCCAGGCTGGTCAGACCATGAGACCTGCTCTCCTGTGACCTTGACATTCTCATCTAGGAAATGTGGGTGGTAAGGTGGGTCCTGGGGCCTGAGAGGGTTGGGCCAGGAGGGGCGATGATGGTGACAGCCTATCTCTTCTAGTTCAAGTTTCAACCATCCTTGATGTGGTGCTGCTATTTCTGTACAGATGGGGACACTGAGGCACAGCAGATCAGGTAGCTGACCCAAGTCAGCCTGGAATCCCTGGCTCCCTGGGCTTAACCATCCACTTTGTGACAAATAACAGGGCTTCAGCTCTGAGAGCCCTCAGGGTTGTGTGGGGGAATCTTTTCTGTGACCCTTGGACCCTGCTTGGCTCTGTGTACTTGTGTCCTGTCTCTCAGCCTTTCTCTGGGTCTGTCTCTGTCTTTTTCAGCTGCCCACTCCTCCAGGCCCTCCTCACGCAGAGCCTTCTGGGATGATGTGGCTATCAAGGTAGTGGAAGTGTCTCAGGAACGGTCCCTGTAGTCTTGGGGAAGGAGAGGGAAGTAGGACTCTGAGGCCCCCAGAACCATTCCATGGAGCCATCTGGGTCAGTGCCCTTTTTGGTGTGATCCAGCCAGAGGATTATAGTACCACAGAGCTGGGAGGCACCTGTCAGGGGCTGCATTGTGTCTCCCCAGAATTCCCGTAGTAAAGCCCTGACACCCTATGTGATTATATTTGGACATAGGACCTTTATTAGGGAGGTGATTAAGGTTAAATGAGATCATAATGGTGGAACCCTCATCCAATAGGACTGGTGTCCTTGTCTGAAAAGGAAGGGACACCAGAGAGCAATCTCTGTCTCTGTACACAGCAGCAGCAGGCCATGTGAGGCCCTGCAAGAAGGTGGCCAGGAGGAGAAGGTCTCACCAGGAGCCAGCCCTGCTGGCACTTTGATCTTGGACTTGCAGCCGGCTCAACAGTGAGAAATAAGCATCTGTTGTTGGAATCACTGTCTTATATCTTATATCTTGCTAGGCCATCCTGAGCCTACTGAGACAGTGTGTCTAATGATGAGGAAATTGAGGCCCTGGGTGTGACTTTACTGAGGTCACATGACAAGGACTGGGGCCCAGACCCTCACTGCCTGGTGCTGTCATTCAGGCCGGCAGGAGGGTGAGCAGCTTGGGTGGGGACAGGGTGGAGCGCGGGCTCTCTGCTCCATCTGCGGTGGCTCGGGCTGGGCTCTCCGAGACCTTCCACAAGTAGACGAGAGCAAGGTGGCCCCTGAACAGGTTTGGCAGGGTGACTTTGACCTTTGTCTTTGGTAGATGGGGGTGTCCTCTGTGGGACATAAGTCTTGGCAGAGAACAGTCGGTCCAGCTTCAGGGAGGACTGGGCAGACGCCAGACTGGAAGAAACACCCCTTTCTTCTTTTCATCTTCGTCTGGATGATACATTCTCTGTGTCATATTTTTAGATTTCATAACACAACAGGATGGCTCCAGCCCAGGATGTGAGTGAGGGATTTATCTCTCTAGGCAGCTTCCTCCTGGATGGACTTGGCCTGAGGGAAGGCATTTGTCCTGGGTTCTGGCACCAGGCTCTGGGTAGGGGCCAGGCTTTGAGCAGCAGAACCTGGGTATGACTCCAGGCAGGAAAGACACACCCTCAAGAAGGGACCGTCCTGCCTCAGGTCCTACACTGATGGCAAAGGCCTTGCGCGTCTTTCCAGGATCCAGAAAGAGTTGCTGGTGGTGGGTCGGGAGCGGGAGCAGCTCCATAGCCTCCCTGCTCTCTGAGGCTGAGGAGGCCATGGCGAGATGGGAGCCGGGGCGGGGAACCCCGGCTGTGTAGCTTCAGAGGCTGGTGTGCCAGGCCGTCTGTTTGCGGCTGTACTGAGAAACACCCAAGAAACAGCGAAGCCTGGGGCGTCATGGGACTGTGACTGTGGTTTCTGCTGTCACGGCTGAGCAGGCAGCCACTTCCCTGTCAGGCCTGGGTTTTCCATCTGTTGATCAAGGTGCTGGATCACCCACCATCCTGCTCATCTTCACAGCTCTGCGGTACATAACCCCTGACTGGGGCAACTCACATTCTCTGCAAGGGCAGGTTGTTGGGGGCTGTTTTTAAATGCACCTGGAATTTTGTTTTTATTCAGGAAGGGTGAATGAAGCCAACAGACCAGGAGACAAGCACTGAAAGGGAGCTTGTCAGTCACAGTTCCCAAGAGGACAGAGGTGGGGTGGGGTGAGCTGTGCCACCCAGGCCACCCAGGGCAGCACCAGGGGCAGTCAGGAACCAAGGGTGCGAAAGGGTGTGAGCCCTGCTGTGGTTTGCATGGGAGGAATAGAAGGGCAGTTGAATGGACGTGGGGTTGGCCAGCTTGATAATTTCAGCACTGGATCTAGTGAGCCAGTGCCCGGCCCTGGGGGATTTAGTGCCAGGGATTGCAGGTGGCTGATAAAAGGAGGTGTGAGGGTGTGGACCCAAGATTGTTGGTTTGCATATCAAAGGGTGATTTGTTTGCTGGGAATTAGCTAACCTGGGAGGGGCAGACCCTCTCCTTCTGCAAGGCCCCAAGATGTCAAAGCATCATAAGATACAGAACAAAAAAGTCATGACTAATACAGGGGTCAGTTGAGGGCACTTGCAGCTCACGTCCCCTTGTGCAAATCAGAGAAAAACATCCCCGTGGCTGGCACGGAAGGACGCAGGGCTAGGTAAATGATGAGGGACCAGATTTCAGTCCCCCCTGGACCCTGAGCCAGGCACCTCAGACAGGGAAGACCCCAAACCCCTTACCTGGCAGCCCTGGAAAGATGGCAAGTAAAACATTTAGCAAATACAATGACAAGGACACTCATTCAAATTTGAATTTCAGATAAAGAATGATTTTTTTTTTAAGTAAGACTCCATAAGTATGTTCCATGCAATATTTAAGACATACATGAAAAAGTAATTTGTTATTAATGTAAAATTAAAATTTAACTGGCCAGCCTCTATTTTATCTGACAATGCTAGGCCCTGGCCACTGTTCCAGGTTTCCTCCTCGGACCGTACTCTATTCCTAGGGTCTTCACCAAGTCCATCAGGAAGAGCGACAGCTGCAGGCTTGGAGAGGGGTCAGATAAAAACAGCCAGGCCACGAGGGACAAAGTGACAGATGCAGAGAGTTACACAGAAGGAAACAAAAAGCCACACATGGAGCAAGAGCTGTGGGGACGAGGAGAGCTGGTCTCCTCCCCACCCGCCCTCCCACCCACACGACACTCCCTTCTACCCCGGCCCTCACCTTGGAGTAGGTGGCCCCGTTGATAATTTCTCCCTTCCTCAGCCAGATGATGGAGGCTGCAGGCTTGGCGTTGTCTGCATGGCAGGTGAGGTTCAGGGGGTCTCCTGCCCGCAGGCTGATGACAGGCCCCCCCAGGATGACGGGGTCATCGGGTGGCACTGTGGGGAGAGGAGTCATAAGGTTAGGCTGAGGGCACGGGGTGAATTTGATGGAGATGATAAGCAGTAATCATCACACTTTAATAAAACATATAATCCCCTTGTATTGTAACAATAACAGCGACAACAACAATAATCCCTGACATGCTTTGCATGTTTATCTGCAGTGGATGCCCACGCCATCACCTCACCAGACACTCTCAGGCCTGCGAGGGGCCGGGCAGGCCTCATTGGCCTGTTCCACAGGTCGGGAGGCAGAGCTCCTCTGCCTGATTAAAATGGTGTAGATTCTTCCTTCTTAAGGTCTCTCCCTCTTTTTTTTTTTTTTTTTTAGAACAAAGCACTGTCACATCTGTTGCCTGATTTAATCCTCATAACAATCTTTCAAGGTAAACATTATTATTATCTCAGATCTGGAAACAGGCTCAGCAGGATTAAGTGACTTGCTCAAGGTCACACAGCAAGTTGAGTTGGCAGGTCCAGGGCTTGAAGCCAGGTCCCCTGACACTTGGAGGCCAGGCCAACCCCTTCCCTTGAGGGGACAAGGCTGATGAGGGCCGTGCACCCCCTGGCATTTCCTTAGCTCTTGATTCCTTCAGAGCAGCTCCACCTCCTCATGCCCAGAGTCAGAATGAATCTCTCCTGCATTCCACTTCATTTCGTACTGTGACTTTCGGCCCGGGGAGATGGGGAATACCCAGAGGAGAGGCTTATCCGCTGTCTGGAGTGTGCCTCCCACAGAACCTGGGCCCAGTGCCCTGGGCCTGCTGGAAGCTCCATAAACATTTGCAGGCTCCATGGAGTCACCCCTTCGGTCCTCTGGGATATAGGCTGGGTGGTTATGATGATAGATGGCCATTGTTTGGAGAAGGGGCCCAGAGAAGTTAAGTGACTGGTCTAAGGTCACAGAGCCTCTTCTAATATTCATGCTTGTGGACACATGGAGGCTCTCAGGCCTCTGCTGCTCCCTGTCTCTCCTCCCTGTTCAGGTCACGGTGGGCAGGGTTCCCAGGACACGTGAGGAATTCCTGGTCTCCCTCCTGGAGAGAGGGAGGGGCTGGGTCAGTCTGTTTTGGAGGTCTGGGAGGGGCTGTGTGTTTGATCAGTGAATGAATGCAGGATAATGGGGTGACACACTTGGGATCCTAGTACAAAGGGCCTCTGACTATTTGCCAGAGGAAGCACCTCTTTCCTGCACTGTGGGCTGCCGGAGAGAGCCTTAACTGCATCAGACAGCAACAGGCCCAGACCTAGCTGGCTGCACCTTCTGGCTCATCCCTGCGGGACTTTTCCCCATACTGCATGGCTCTCCTTCCTTCTCAGGGTCTCCCCTATCTGTTGCTCTCCTCATTAATACTCAGGCTCTGGGAAACCCCAGGAGTGCAGGAGAGCCCCCTACTGGGGTAAGCCCTCAAAGCAGCACCTGTCACCAAGTGGGTCTGCCCCTCCCTTTCCAGCCTGGTTCAGGCTGGTTCCTCTTTCCAAGGAAAAGACGCAGTGCTTTCATGAGCCTATACTGATTCCATTCCACCGCTGCCAGCCCCAGAGCGCCACCTGAGATTCTGACCCAGGGCGGAAGTCTTCATAAAATCCCTCCCTGCCCAGTGCTAGCTTGGGAGCCAAGCCTCCCCAGGAGGCCCTGGGCACAGTGCAGATGGTAGGTGTGGGCTGAATGGTGGAGCCAGCCCCCATCCCCACCCACCCTATCCCCTCTTATTAGAGCTGCGGGCATCCTTGGTGTGGGTATGGCCAAAGAGCCCAGGGGGGCTAATGAGGACTTTCCAGAGATGAGTGGGTGTGATAGTGTGGGTGAGGGGAATTTTATCTCCATGCAGGGAGGGCAGGGGCTCCTGCCCCTTCTTTGTGGGGTGGCAGCTTTCTGTCCACGAGGTGCCGAGGATGGAGTTACTCCTCTGAGCTAGCTGACGGCCAGGAAAATAGGAAAAAAAAATTGAAACTTCAGGAATAGAACATAAACCTGGTCATCCTTATCCCTCAAGCTCCCTAGGGATGGGCCAAGGGGTGTGCAGTGCCCTAAATCAGAGGGCCAATGCCTAGGCAGGCCTCTCTCCTGGTATTATTTCCTCAGATAGAAATGTGAAAGTACAACAGAGGATCTGGAAAGTTCCCTCTGGCACTGACACTTCTTGGGTCTGAGACTGGTTTCTCAGCCTCAGCTGCATGTTAGAATCTTCTGGAGAGGTTTGAAGTGTCTTATTGCCAAGGCCACACCCTGACCTGTGAAATCCCAATCTCTGGAGGTGGAGCCCAGGCATCGGAAGTCTCCCCAGAGGATCCCAGAGTGTGATCAAGTTTGAGAATCACCCTTCTCTGGGCCTTTGTTCAGGCTCCCCATGCCCTGTGATCACAGCGTGGAGACTGGGGGCCTTTCCAAAAAGCAGATACAGCGAGGGGCCAGCTCATCCTCCTTCCCTAGGACTGTGCTTTGGAATATCTGATTAGAGGGAGTACACATGAGGGGAGAGGGGAGTGGGCCATGGTGTGTGTATACTCAGATGCGTGCGTGCATGCACACACACGCACACTCACAGACTCACACACACACACACACACACACACACTCACACCCACCATCCACCCTCAGAATGGGTCCTGATTACATCTTCCCAAATAAGTGGTTATCATGCCGGCTATTCATGCAGCTATGCATTATTGATTGGCCTTCGCCTCGTTGCCCACCAGATGGGGTAGGAGGGGGTGCGGATGGGGCTGGTGTGTGTGGGGGGCGGGGTGGGTGAGGAGAGAGGGGATTTGGGGGCCAGCAGGCTGAATAGAAATCAACAGTCGCTCTTGGCAGCTGGAGCTCCCACAGAAGGGGGGGCCTCATTACCTCTCCATTCAGACGCTGGCCCAGAGCTGGGGCACAGGGAGGGGGATGTTTCAGCAGCCTGAGACTGGTGATGCATTATTCATACACCCCCCCCACCCCGCCCAGGATTGGTTATTATCCTGAACCACTATAGAGTTTGGTCTCCTAATTTTTAATCACAGGGAAGGTGGAAGCGTTAGCCTTTTGTGATTAATCCAGAGATAAAAATAGTTGACTGTTTTGGTGTTGTGCTTGTTGTCAGTCAGGGAAAATGCATTAACTGTTGGGTGACTGAGACCCGAGGAAGCCCGAGTGGAGCACCCGCAGAGCCTGTCCGTGGAGCGGGCAACTCTGACACAGGCCCAGCATGAGTGGAAAAACCCTGCCTAGCAGGCCCCTTGTGAATTAAGGGCCACAATCACAGGGCTGGCTGGCTCTTCTGCAGTTTCCTTTCCTGCCATCCAGGGTTTGGCAGGCAGCTAGGAGTCTTCTCCCTCCTCTCCCGATCAGAGGAGCCCCGACTTCTGGACAGCAGATTGAGCCAGGGTAACTCTCTATTGTCCCGCTCCAAGGACATCAGCTAGATCGAGGGCAGGTGGGCTGGTGCCAAGGGTTTTGCCCTGTTCTGCAGTTGCCTCTGTGACCAGTGACTGCGTGGCATCCAGCTCATTTTGACTCATAGGTCTTGTTTGCTAGGTTGGCTTACTTGCCTGAACGTGCTGGGAAGCTTCTCTTGGGGCCAGGACATGGGTGGCACTGTGGGGGCTTCCTCCAAAGTTCTCTTGGTCACCTAAATGGCCCCCCAGGCTGGGTTTCCAGGTGTCCTCAGTTGCCCCATCAGCCACTTGGGGCACCTCTGCAGACAGAAGTCAGCAGCACAGATACCTCCCCCAGAAGCTCATCTCACCTGGTGGCTGCTGGGGTGTTGTGGAAGGTCATTGGTTCAGCCTCTGCCCCAGAGAGCAGGTGCCAAGCTCTTTGGAGGGCAGTGCTGGGTGTTGTTCAGCTTTTGCTAAGTGCCTTCTCCCCACAGTTGGGAGGGGTCTATTAAAAATTGACCGGCTTGTGTCACTGCTGTGCCTCAAACTCCGGGGCGGGGGCTGGAGGGCGGCTCCACGCTGCCTAGAACATAGCTGGCACGACTGTCCCTGCAGCCTGTCCCTGGCCACCCTCTGCCACCAGAGTTCCTTCCACCCACTGCTCACCCCTGCAGCCTTTCGTCTGCTGCAAAGCCAAGCTCATGCCTGGCACAGGGCCTTGCCCTTCTCTCTGTCTGGAGCCCTCTCTTCCGTCCTTGCTCTGCTGGCTTCTTCCTGTTCATGTCACAGCTTCAGGGAGCCTTGGCCACCCAATATGTTAGCTCCTCTCTTACTGTCTGTGACCCCACCCCACCTATTCTTCCTTACTGTTCTGTGTGCTGTCTGACTCCCCTGACCAGAAAGGAGGCTCCCTGACAACAAAGCAAGACCTTGTCTGCCTCTGCTGTAGCAGATCAGTGCCTGGCACACAGTAGGTGCTCAACAAATATTTGTTGAATAAATAAACGAAAGATTGATGGATGGGTGGTCTGTCATGGGCATTTGCATTCAAGGCCAGCACTTTTTATGCTATGTCTGTCTCTGCGTGTGTTTGTATCTGGAGCTGAGTTGGGGGTGGAGGGTGAGTGAGTGTTGGGGAGAAGGGTAAAGACTACCCCTAGCCCTTGCTGGGACAGCCATGTAGAGGCTCCCTACAGTGTAACTCTGGGAGTTGGCTGCTTCCTGCTGTTTCTGGAGAGGGAGCCTGGCTGGGAGACTTGGGGGAGGTCCTGGGGGAGGTCTTGGGGGCACCAGCCCTCTGTGTGGAGGAGGGAGCCCAGTGTGATCTGTCTGGATCATACACTGGGTGAAAGCTGCAGGCTAAACATGGTGACAGATCAGAGACACACGGCTGAGGGAGTAGGAGGTTTGCAGTCAGCAGTTTGCTTTTCTTTGGTTTCAGGCATCAGCATTCATTCAGCCCCAGGGGAAGGGTGGGGAGGAGGCTGAAGTTAGTGCTGGAAGTGGGAGAGCCAGGGAGGGAAGGCACCGGAGGCCTCTGTGCTCATCCTGATCAGTCCACTCACACCTTCGGAACCTCTCTTCTTCCAGAGTCCCCAGCTCCACTCCGCACAACCAGCACCCCCTGGCCC